GAAAGAAAGAAAGAAAGAAAGAAAGAAAGAAAGAAAGAAAGAAAGAAGGAAAGAAAAAGTTTATCTCCTCCTGTTACTTTTTTTTTGCTTCTTTTGTCTTCTGACTGCTGGTCACCCCATTTAACATGGGAAAGATACCATCAGCCTGACAGATATTGGGTGTCTCGACAGGTCCATTGTTGTGCAAGTTCTTGCATTTCAGCTGTTCAATCACTGCAGAAAGTTTGTCTTTGTTGTTATCCTGATGAGAATATAGCCCAAGATTCAAACAGTTTCTTAAGCAGTATAGAGAAAGTCAGGTTTTGGATTAGTTTTTTGCTGCTCTCAAATTCACAGTTTGTCTTTAAGAAAGAGTTCAGTCTCAAAACTTGAATTCAAGTAAAATCGTGAAAAGTGTATAAAAATAGGTTAGCTATTATATTTACAGTGTTACTTGTTGTAGTACTAATAAATAAATAGTTAATTGACAGTAATTATAAATATACTAAAAGCTCTTATCTACAAACCAAATTCACTAGTTTAAATACACTCATGCAGCACTACATTATCTCCATAGGATTACAGAACATCAGGTGCTTTCTCTATATTTAATACAATCACAGATTGTAGAAGTGAAAACATTGGATACAAAGTGGGGTTTAGTGTCTTGCCTAAAGAAATTTTGAGTTGGGCTCTTTAGAAGCCAGTGAATTGAACGTTCCAACTTGTGATTGGCAGACAAAACTCTTCCTCTTATAAATCATCGATAGTTTGTTGCCCTGATTAAGTAATTGTTTTTTATAACTGGAAACAAATTAAGCCTAAATAATGTTTAGACGATTGTTTAAACCAGCTGGGAATAAATACAAAGTCTAAGGTGAAAGAGTTTTTATCTGATTGAACTAAAAAGAGCAAAAACTGTTGTCATATATTTGTAGGCATAAAACATGAAGATTATGACCGTACCCTCAAAACCTCCTATGTATGAAAAATGTGTGATTTATGAAATAATACACTTGAAAATAAGGTTTGCAGTTTATTAAAGAATTTGGTAGAGCTATGAGAGGCCTCTGATTTTGCAAATTAGAATTTTACCCTGGCAACCAAGATTTCAGGTTTGTACATTTGAGAATGGGCACATTGATCCAAAATGATAATCTCCATCACTTTTTTCTTTAATATATCTAAATCTAATTAAGTCAAGTGGAAACTGACAAGACATTACCTGCTGAACTATAACTGCTGAGTGAGAGTCAGTTTTCCACCACTTAATATGGGCTTATTGGATTTGCTATTTGAAAAGAAAAAATTCTGACAGGAATATCATGTGCACACACCCTTAAAGAAAACAATAGGTGGGTCAGAGGTTCACACAGTGACAAACAACTGTGCATTTTCAGAGTCACTCCTCGGAATGATTTAGCCTCACCAGTAGTCTAACATATGTTCTTCGACATTAACAGGAAATTGAAGTACCTGAAGAGATAAGGCATGCTTGCACCAGGAGACCTTGCAAACACAAGCACATGAAAAGGGCCAAGCCTGAATTGGAAAACCTCTTGCTGTGAAGAGACAGTGCTAACCACCACCACTCTGTGGCTAATTTGTGTATTTATTAAATTTGTAGTTACAAAGAAATTTTACAGTGGAACAATAAAACACCTAATGCCATCGCCAAGATTCAGTTTTGTTCCATTCAAGTTTTTTATTTTTTCATTGAAAAAATCATTTTTTATAATTAGTTTGGAAATTAACTGAAGACTAAAATAACTAAAAGACAAAATGTCCCCTTAAAGCCTGTGTATTGGTCATGTTTAGAACTTAAACTTAATCGCTAAATTGTTTTTACATGAGATAACATGAAACAGATTCAATTCATCATACCTACCAGAGTTATTTTTTGCAAATAACAGTTGTGCATGTGCTTTGAAAAGAAAATCCAAAAGTATGACACTATCGTATAGCCTGTAATTTCGTGAAATAAATTAATCCTTACAGAAATTGTTGGAACATAATTTTCCAAAAGGATTAGCACAATACAGAGTGCAAAGTGCAGAGTGGAAGACATACTATACTGTTTTGAGTAAAAACAACTGTTTTTAAAAGCCTGTGACACGTAAAACATGACATTATAATATCTGACAATTGCACTTATGTGTAAGTACCCCCAAAGAATGAGATATTTCATGAAGAACTATAGAATGTATAGGATGATATAGACAGACAGACAGACAGACAGACAGACAGACAGACAGACAGACAGACAGACAGACAGACAGACAGACAGACAGACAGACAGACAGACAGACAGACAGACAGACAGACAGACA